GCTGGGGTTTGAGCCATTTCTTCTTGTTGTTTGCACGTTCGCTGCATTTGACACATGTGGCCGTTGAGACATATCCCACTCACTAGTGTTGATTTGACATCGTGACTTGTTTGGTCACACAGCAATGAACTGTTTTGGTGCTTTGATGGCGGCGCTAGCGTTGTGGCTTCATGTTAACCCGCACAGACAGCAGCGCTTTCTGCACTGTTTTGATGTACAAATAATGCGTTTCATACAGTCCATGTGATAAAGTCCATGCCCCTTTGGTCTATGGTGGCAGGTTCGTTCAAGAGTCAGGAAACTAATAGAGAGCAAAGCCTTTTGACACAGACACTTTGGTAGAGAGAGAGAGACAAGTAAAGCAAACAAGCATGCAAATAGAAATGATCACAGCCGGAAAAGTTATCGAGCTCATTAGAAGTTACCGATTAACGATTTATTTATTATCATTATAGACCTACACAAATACAAAGTACTGCACACTAGGGTTGTATTCCGTTCGATTAATCGGTTGATGGTGTCCTGGTCAACCAATATTTGTATTAGTCGATTTGTGTTGTTGTATTAGATTATAAAGATTTAAAAGGGATCAAGTAGCCAATTGATAGACAGAAACACTGACATTTAACAAAGTGATTGGCCAATTTTCTCTGCCAAGGAAAGATCCAAAAATGTGCTAACTATTTGAAATCCTTGATTTTCTTTCTCAGCGAATATCTTGTTTATGTGGGTTTAAATGATGGCAGTCTTGACAGTACCCACTAAAATAGCATCTGGCATCCGTCCTCTTCTCACATGTGTTTGTTTAAATCAGATCCTTTTCAGCAAATGGCATTTTTACTTTTTAGCATTTACTTTTTATTGTTTCTTATGCTCAGTTCTGTTTTCTCTGTGGCCTATTTAATAAACCATGTGTATTACAATCCTACCTCTAACAACTTCAACAGAATTCTTCAAAAGCAGTGCAAATAAACATACTTGGGCACTCTTAATTAATCCTCTTAGACATGCTTCGTTTTTACTTAGCATTTTCACTTTTTCCTCCTTCCCTGCATCTCCAGCTGCAAGTGAAAAGTGCAGATTAGAAGCAACAAATAGGCCCAAACTGAGTCGTTAGAAAATTAAAACCTGTGGGACCTGTAGCCAGAGCAGTCAAGTTAATACAGTCAAAACCACTTTAATGAAACAGCCACTTGTGAACAGCTTTAGTGCAGATTTTCTCATTGTAAATTATTCTTGCTGGTTTCTGGTCCAATCTTAAAGGTGCATTGTGTAACTTTTCTGGTTCGCTCAGTCCTTTTCTTCATAGAGATATTATTCCTTTGCGTGGAATGTGCCGTAATGTGGTCTTAGACTCATCTATTTACATAAAAATAAGCATATGATGCCATCAAGCTAAGTTACAGGCCAGATCTATGGAAAGGTGACCACGCTCACAGTAAGAATGCATTATTTGTAGATGTATTTTTGAGCAATAAAAAACAACTTTTATTGAATGAATGCGAGATGGATATGTTTAATCGTGTACTGTGGAATATTCCAGACAAAGCTATAACATCATCACAGATACAAGCAGGTAGCGGACCCTTCCCATTAAAGTTACACAGTGCACCTTTAAAGCTGTAGCTGTACTCTGTTTTACCCGTGTATCTGAGCTAAATATGTCTACAGAACAGATTTATTATAGTAATAACTCAAAATTAACCGATATGGATTTTTTCTGGGGTGACAATCATCTCTTCTCCGCACTTTATTAAAACAAGATGTCTTTTTGTTGCCATCTGTGCTGAAGTAACTATTTATTCTAGAGTCAGGAGTTTAGTTCAGTCTAGGGCCTTTACACGAGAATGCTTCCAGGTAAAACACAACAAAATATTTTATCTGAAGTGCCTTTTGTTTAGACGGTGATGGCGTTTTTGAGGCTTAAAAACGCAAAAATTGAAACCATCCTCTAGAGTGGAAACATTTAATATGCTTTACGGTAGTGTTTCCGTCTACACTGCCCAAGACGCAAAACTCAGGTCACATACATGTTTACGTCACATACATACAGTACACAGAAACCTGGCATGCATACTCAATCGATTTCCACACACTTTTGCATCACCATATGCACGCAGATTTCCTCCCAAAAACGCTTGTCTTAACTCTGAATAAAAAGTGAAGACACAACGCCACTTTTGTGCCTTCTGTTCAGACCGTCATCATATAAACATAGCCTTAGTTTAGTTTAGTTTAGTTTGGTTTAGTTTAGGCGTCACATGAGCGGGAGGTGTTGGGAGGCTTTTGGAGATTTTGCGCCAATGAGCACAGACCATTGAAAACAACACAACACTGACTTTGGTTCATCTTCCATGACCCACACAGTGGAAACACATTGAAGAACCTTAAAATTTCTCAAAATGGCATGACCTTCTATATAAATCCTCTGTATAGCACATAGAGGTAACTAGGTTTTCTGATCTCGATTGAACAAAACAAAAGACCATGTTTGATGTCTGAATGTCTCAGTAATGATTGACCCATTTTCAAGATGTATTTGAATGAAAATGCGTCCCTTGCAGTCTATATGGCTGTATCGATTGTTGGTGTCAAAGCTGTTCGTGTGCGTTCTATTATGAGGTTAGACGGTGTGACCTCTACAGGCTGACTCCAGCGCTGCAGCTGTCACAAAGTGCATTAACATTGATCAGGAGGAGGACACTCAACATGTGGATTAATGGCCTGTCATGGTTTATGGCCCCAAAGGATAATCTTTTACTTCTGAAATGGTCTAAAAATAAACGTTGGCTGTGACATTGACCGTATGACAAAGAGCTTTTGAGCTGTAGAACCTGTTAAATGTGTCTATACTGAAGGATCTGAGAGGTAAAATGCTGCTTAAAGGTGCATTGTGTAACTTTTTAGGTGCATGGTTCGTTAAATGCTTTTCTCCATGGAGATATTATTGCTTTGTTTGTAATGTTTCACGGTATAGTAGTAAACCTTTCTATCTTCATGGAGACCAAACCTGACCCAAGTTACAGGTCAGATATGTGAAGAGGCAAACCCGCTCACAAGTTAGAATGCCTGTTTTTCTAGGTATTTTTGAGCTATAAAATCATCTGCAATTTAATAAATGTAATGATTTTTCTTTACTTACATGATGCATTTATTTAGCATTTCTTTCTAAAAAAAAAAAAAAAAAGAACAAAAAACACTTTGTTATTGATAATTTAAACAAAACTTTCAAATTGAAAATAAATTCAGGCTACAAACATGTACCTTTTTGTGATGTATAAAACATAAAATGAATAAAGTATACTTGAAATAAGGCATAGAAAAACATAAATGTATGCAAAGTATATTTATACTTTATATCCAACTGTTATTATTTATGTAAAAAATATCCCAAAATAAACGTTGTTAAGCTTTAAATAGTTTCAACTCGATTATATGAATTTGGAGATCATTTGACACACAAATTGAAATTGCAATCAAAATTTGATTAATTGCACAGCTTTGCTACATAAGTACTATAGTATATATTTCCCCCTCACAATCTCTTCTCCCTGGTGCATACTTGGGTAAATGCCATATTTGTGCTGGTATGTATTTGTACTACCAGCAGACCCCCTTTCACTTGCCATCTTAAATATAATCAAGAATGTGTTTCCAGACTTGGTTTGTGATTGTCTTGGCTCTGGAGTACTATCTGCAGAGCCCAGCTGGCCTCCCCAGAGGGCCTGAGCCTCTGACGCTCCTCTCTGGGTGTACTGTATGTCCCGGGGTTATCCAGCCTCAGCTCCACGCCTCTGTGCATGATTGATGAGCAAATGGGATTTTAATTCAGTTACTCAGATGTCACCCTGCAGCCATATCTGTGTGGCAGCCTCACATTTGGAAATGTGCTTTATTAGAAACAACGAGGAGACCAAGATGGATTCAAGTCAAAGCATCACTTCACTTTTTGAACTGGACTAAGCATTTCCTTCAGTCTGCATTGTTCATTGTAGGTCTCTGTTTGAACTTTCTAAAGTCAATAATTTTACAGTAAATTGTTGAATTCACATATCATTTGTCATTTCAATGTCTACCTGATACTAATCTTCTGGTTTGAACATCGCTCCCTTTTATCAAGAAAAATGTCCTCAGCTCCAACAAGATTTTAGAGGTGCAATCCTTTCTGGTGGAGGTCTGCCACTTGTCTCCACTGAGATTGATTTCCTTTGTCTTGTATTGTGCTAGCATTTCTTCCAGTTCTGTGTTTTGATTAAAAAAAATTTTCTTCAAAACACACATTCTTACTTCTGCAAAGCTCTGACTTGAAACGTGATCTGCTGGCATCTCCTGCTCTACCTCTCCTAGATGGATAATGATGGATAATGTCATACTGTGGAACATTATAAAACAAAGCAAAAAAAAATCTCTTTGGAGAAAAACAGGTAATCTCTAAGGAAAAAAGCAGGTAGCGACCCTCCTCCCCAAAATATCTTAGCAAGTGCTGTTTACTTTGTCACATTTTTATTTGAATAGATGACCCAGACTCTCACACACCAGTCTAGTCACCACTCTTATGTCTAGAGGTATTTTATCACAATAATATATATTTTTTGTTTCATCTATCTCATTTTTTGCTTTTTTTAAAATTCTAGATATAAACCCCAGATGACATCTTAAGTCTTATTTTCACGGATCCTTTTCCAATATGCTGAAAAGTAATCAAACAACCTACTCTGTCTTCTCTGCCTTTGTCTCTCGCAGAAAGATAGCCACTATAATTGGTGTCTTGTAAATCTTTTAATGTCTAGGATTGCTATTTTAATCTAAGGCATCATTTCCCTTCTGGTCTAGTTTGAAGATACTTTTTAAGGGCTATTTAATGAGGGATAAAACTTGAAGACAGTGAAAATAACACATTTCTTCTGACGTCATTCGCCATCTTGGGTTCACTTATCTCACAAAAGCTGTTCTTTCTGTACTCAGGCTTTGTCTAATGGCCAATTTGCGTGTGTTTGCAGGGTAAAATGGTGAAGGGGATGGGCGGTGCCATGGATCTCGTGGCCAGCGCTGGGACAAAGGTAGTGGTCACCATGGAGCACTCAGCTAAGGTTGGTATCCCAGTGACCCTTAATGTGTGTGATGTTTGTTTAACGATCAAGGCTTAAAATAATGAGTCAAACCACGAGTGATGTGAGGTGCACGGAGCTCATTTAATGAATGGGTCAGATGTGAAAAAGAAAGATTTATTTTATCTGCTTTTTACACCGATTACAGTGAAGCAACAAGAGACAGCTAAAAAGGAGAATAGGGAACATGAAGGAAAGCTATTTGTGCAAAAATATATAATAGTATAAAATATGATAATATATGAGAACTAATAGTAGGCAGTAGTATTACTATTAGTAGTAGTACATTGCATTTTTCATTCCTTTTACATACTTCTTTGTAGAAAAATAAATATAAAAACAAGCCAATCATTAGAACAATTTTTAAAATTTTATTCATCACAAAGATTTGACGACCCAAACAGCCCATTTCCCTTCTGCTCTTAATTAGGCCACTTCAGATTGGTACTCTTCTCCTTCACTTGTTTTCCCAAGAGACAGTCAAGAAGCAGAGTTGGGAAAATTAGTGAAATTTGTTATAATATTAATTTTATATTTGAGGACTCTGAGTAATAGTCTGTTCTGTAATAGGCTTAATTAAATTATGCATTATTTCAGTAATGGTAATAATAATAATAACCCTGTCGGCCCCATTGACCCCCAGTTACTCATGCACACACTACATTCATACCATATATAGTGGGAACTCTGTCTTGCACAAGTACACAGCAATAGTCTGCACTGGTCCCAGTTGGCATTAAATGACAGACTTTTGAACCACAGTGGGTAAACACCTAGCCTGATTCATCAGCCGGTTTCATTTTGTGGAAACCGTCTGACCTCACAGCTTTAGGATTCATTCACTCGATGGTAGGCAGGTACTTTTTTTATTTAACCAGTTGCTGCTATTTGGTCATGCCACTAATGGGGCTAAGTGATACATTAAGCTTTTCCCAAATCCCATAGGAAGAAGGGGAATAACGTCTTTCCCCTTGATAAAATTCAACAAACATTCTCTTTGTTTTGTCTTTAAATCCTCGCTCTTGGGAATCGTTGCCAACACAGAATGTATGGCTTCGTCTACATCCATCTCGACCTCCTTATTTACTGTTGTGCTGTACCACACGGCTCTTCACTGTTTGGTCGGTGCGTGGTCTACAACTTCCGGGGTTCTTGCAAACCATCTAGTGTATTCCAATTCCTGACCTAGTTGCTGGAGAGAAATGAAATTGAGTGGAGGCAGTAGGTGGCGTCAGCCTGGCTAGTAAACACCAGTCTTTGGACGATTTTAATCAAATACTAACTTTAGTTTTTTGTTGTTTTTGTTCTTTTGATAAAATTAGTTCCCTTTCTGACTTCCAAAATATACAAAAATATAAAAACAAGGCAGTTTTTCAAACAACTTTTTAAAATAAACATATTTGACAACCAAACGGCCCATTTCCCCTCCGCTCTCATCCAGGCCACTCCAGATTGGTACTTTCCTCCTCCTCTTGTATCTCCAGCAGCCAAACCCCTCTCCACATCCTGCTGTAATGAGTGTGAGTGTTCAGCCTGATTAGGGATAATTCTCTTAATGGTTTGTGTAATGTCTTTTTAGCACAGTGCAGTACATCACATATACGCGGGCTATCTTCACTTCGAAATCAGATCTTGAATTGATGCAATACACAAGCAGCCAATAAAATATAGTTTGTTTCTAATAAACTATGTTCTTTAATATTTCCATCTAAACAAAGTTGATAATTGACTTTTTAGTAATAATAAGAATGCGATTGTTCTTATGTCACACCTCTTTAAAATGTCAAAGTTATGTGTTTTTGAGTCTTTGCATGTTCATAATGATGTCCATAGATGCCTTGGAGCAGACTGACGAGTTTGTGGCTTTTGTTTTGTGCCTATGGTTTTTTCTAACATCATCACTCTTACTCTCATTCATTCATTTGGTGAAACATGGATCAGTTAATATCAGGGCAAAGATACACTAGGATAGGCACGCATATGGTTTAAATAAATTTTAGTTTTATATTATTACATAAAAAATTATTACAAAAATGCTGTAGGCTTTTGATATGTAATTTGAGCAAATATAATTATAGAATCAATGGATATTGTTAGCAATTTTAGCCACTAACATGCCTCTGCTAATCAATTACCTGTGTGGGTTTACATCAATACAATGTAATGCCGTTCATGTCCGCGTCATGCAGCTGTGCACATCTGGCACAGCGAGCAGCTAAACTCAAGTGGATACTGGAGCAACATTTTATCCTCTAAGCCGTTGGACAAAGCTTGAGGCAGAAGAAAACTGAGAGGAGGACAATTAGAGATGCCACTTTCAAGCATGTCTTTTACAAAACCATTTTCGTTTTATTTAACCTTTTGTTACGCAGTTATGGAAAAATGATATATCTTCTTCATGACAAATAATCCGTTTGCAAAGCCCAGTGACTTTTTGGAATACAGAAAAAAGATGTATTCTTGTTACAGCAGGTATGGACACACAGGACCACACACCAACAGCTTTTTGGCATATATAGAATTATAAAGCTACATACATATTAAAGCAGAGTGACTTTTGTAATAAAGCACTTTTCTAAACACTCAAAGATGCTGTACAAAGTATACAATTAAAGAAATAATAGACAAAATATGATTTAAAAGCAGGCTAGACATTAAACGTGGCTCTAAATAGATGGGTTTCAAGCAGTTTCTTGAAGTTGAAGAGTTCAGTGCGGTCACAGATTTGCTCAGGTAAAGAGTTCCAGAGGGTGGGGGCGGCGATGGAGAATGCTCTGTGTCCCAGGTTTGGAGCTTGGTCCTACAGGGGAAGGACAGGACACTGGCATCAGAGGAATGGAGGGAGCGGGATAGAGTGTGGGGGTGCAGCAGGTCCAAGAGGTAGGATGGGACCTGGTTGTGGAGGGCTTTGAAAGTGATGAGGAGGACTTTGAAGTGGATGCGCTGAGGGATGGAGAGCCAGTGGAGGTTTTGGAGCACAGGAGTGATATGTTCGTGGGACCCGGGTGTATGTGAGGAGGCAGGCAGCGGAGTTTTGAATGTTTTACAGTTTATTTAGAGCTTTTGAGGGTGTGCCATAAAAAATGCTATTGCAGTAGTCAATTCTGGAGCTGATGGATGCATGGATTAAGGTTTCTGTAGCAGACAAATTGAGAGATGGATGGAGTCAGGCAATGTTTTTGAGCTGGAAAAATGCAGTCTGGGTTATTTCTTTAATGTGGAATTCAAATGAGACTTTGAGGTTGAGGAGGACGCTAAGGTTACTGATGAGTGGGAAAGGAGTGAGTGAAGTGTTGTCAAAATGAGACAGAAGTTTGAGGTGGGTCTGGTGAGATTTTTTGGACTAAAGTGGGATGTTCGTCTATGGTTACTGTTGTTACGGTTGAAGGGCACATGTTTCTAACCTGTAAAATGGTTTCCTGACTTTTTTGTGAACATGTGAAAAATGCACAAGAAAATGATTATTTTTCAACTATAAATACATCTTAATTAATAAAAGAGTGTGTATAAACAGTACAGTTCATTTGTATAAGTTCAAATCTTTGGTCGAATTGTATTTTCATGGCTTCATCAGTTTCCCATTATATGTGATATTTTGAGGACATTTCCCCACTCAAAAGATATAATATATAGGTATAATCATAATCATAATCATAATGAATTAGTTTTATATAGAACTTTTCTAGACACTCAAAGTCACTTTACAATTTGGTGCATTATTCATTCACACCACACTCAGTGATTGAAGCGAGGCTGCCAATCTGCTCCTTCAACTATCACCATGACACACACACACCACTTTCATACTAGACAATGTGGGTGAAGTGTCTTGCTTAAGGACACAAGTACAGTTTTTATCAGTGGCGCCCCACTGTGACTCTTGGAATTCCCAGTGGTCTCCCATCTAAGTACTAACCAGGCCCAGCCCTGCTTAGCGTCTGACATCTGACGAGATCAGACTTTGACAGGGTTTGGCCAAGTACTGCTGTCATAGCACTGTTAATTGCTCTGACAGCAGTACTAATGTCTAATTAAATCCACACATTTAAAGAAGACCTATTGTACTTGTGCCTGCTATATATCTATAATCTTTGACACCTCAGGATCGGGTTTGCACATTTAAAAACACAATATTGATCTAAAACAATGTAATAAAAGAAACAAATCCACTGACTTCTGCGATAGAAAAATGCGTTGCTCAGTGGGAGCTGACGTCGCCATAAACGTCATCACAAGTCGGCACCTTCTATGGATAGCTACTCATCACAGCACTTATGTTTTTTTGTTCAGTCGTACCCAAATGTTCTTCAATTTGTTTTTTTTCCCAACGAGCTAGGCAAAATGGGGAGAGAATTCAAGTCAAAACAAATACAACAGTTTTGTGTTCAAGGTTATTCATATAAAAGTAGAATTCTGTTGTGCTCGTGTTGTTAAGGCCAGTGTTGCTGTGGGAGATGAGCATTGATTGCACGACTCCTCACCACCGCTGGTTTACTATCCATGGGTTTCAGAATGCTAAGAATTTAGGACCACTGTTATAGTGATTAACAATTAAAATGATGTAAAGAATCAATTTTTTTAATGGAAAAATGTCCTAAAATTCCGTAAGTGATGGCTGTTAAAATGCATATTTTATTTTGTAATACAGTGAGTTCTTTAGTCCAGTCACTAATAGAAATGACCAGTTTGAACATTTGTGAAATTACCTATTGGATATTTCACAGGAAAGTACAAGGTAATCAATATGGAAATCTGGTTCTTGTTCCTTATCCTGGAGTATGACACCATCAAATTATAAATTCGGAAAACCACCAATAGCAGGAAGCATAAAGCCCCTATATTACTCTATTTTCGAATTTATGTTATAATATTGTTTCCTCATCAAAAATATACCGGGGCATTTGTTTTGTTTCATTCACACATGTTTAACACACAAGTGCTGTATATTTAGTTCTTCTCTCAAACTGAAAGCACTCTGTTCTACCTTGTAATGTCATGTGGGAATACAGGAAGTGCTCCACTGTGTTTTTAAATTCCATATACCTTCACCAGAATTATTCAGATGATTTCAGCTCTGGAATTGCCAATCTCTACTGAACAAAAGGTGTAAGGTAACTTCCACTCTATAACATCACAAGGTGGAAGAGAGCATTTTGAGCTTTGGGGATGTAGACCGACTAACAATAAAGGGTTACTCAAACATGTGTGAATGAAACAAAACACTACTCTGATAAGGCTGTGCAATTAATCGAATTTTGATCACAATTTTGATTGGTGTGTTATTTTGGGGTATTTTTTATATAAATAAGCATATTTATTTTATTTTTTTATTTTTTTATAGAGATTGTAAAACAGCTAGATGTATAGCTATTTTGGATACATTTATGTTTTTCTATACATTATTTCATGCTCAAAGTATGTTTTATTCATTTTATGTTTTATACATGGCAAAACTGCCCTAAGGCACATATTTGTAGCCTATATTTATTTTCAGTTTGAAAGTTTGCATAAATTATCAATAAAAAAGTGTTTTTTTGTTTGTTTGTTTTTTGAGAGTGAGAAGTGGTGAATAAATGCATCATGTAATTAAAAAATAATCATGATTTCAATATTGACCAAAATAATTATGATAATGATTTTTTCCATGATCGAGCAGCCCTAACTCCAGGCATTTTTTAAAGAGGTAACAACATTATAACATGACTTAAAGCTCTAGAATAATCTGTTTTGTATAATGTAGGACCTTTAAACGTTTATATAGGAAGTCCCCAGACCCCTATGTAATGATGCAAGGGCAGTGTAACATTGTGCATTCACAGAGCCGTGCTGTGTGCTAATGGTCCACTGTCTGGCTCCCTGCTCCGGTCCAGATGGTGCAGCGTTTGAGCATAAATAAATTCTGGTCTGAGACTCGTTTTTATTCATGACGTGGCTCTCAGCGTAAACAAACAGCTGAACTACGACATGGCCTCTGCAGCAATGTCACAGCCACATATGATCACATTACAGCAGACACGTTTGATCAGGGCCCCATAATTTGGTTCAGTGGCTCAACTGATAGAGCAGTTTGCCCCCTAACCAAAGCATAAGTGGTTCAATCCCTACCACTAATATTGCATAATATTGCTGTGCCTATGTGGAGCTGTTCCTATAATAAAGGCCAGGTCACTGTACTACTCAGTGTGATTAAGGATTATGTGAAAATGCACCAAAATTGTAGGGCTGTAGGCTTTTAGTCATTTATGAATTCATTAATTAATCACTGGATTTGTATAGTGCATTTCAGGAAACATAAAGATCTTTATAGTGCATTTTTCATTCACTCCCCGCTCGATGGTGGTGAGATACTATTGTAACCACAACGGTCCTGGGGCAGACTGACAGATGAGAGCCTGTCAATCTCCGCCATTGGTCCCTCTGACTAGAGCCCTGCACTGCAAAACAGTGCAGCGTGGGACACATTTTGAAAACTGCGGGCACGGGCGCGAGTGGGACTACACAACATGGGAGCGGACGGGTGGGATGATAAACTGCAGTCCCGCAAACTAATGCGTACGCCGAGCAAACCGCCCCCCCGTCCCGTACGTCGCGCAGGCTGTGCCACTAAACCAGAATTAAACCAGGACTAAAACAAGTCTAAAACGGGTCTAAAACAGGATTAAAACCGGGACTAAAATAGGATTTAGCCAGGATTTAACCATGCCGCCGGACCGCCCACTGCGCCTCTTCCCATACGCAGCCACCCCCCCCCAACTCCCTCCAGTCCGCGAAATATTGTCTGATGGTGCAAAAAAGGTTGGGGACCACTTTAGACAATTCCTTTCTGTTTCTCCGTGTTTGATGGATGTTAAGAAAGTGAACGTCTCCATCTTGCGGGACTTGCAGGCAGGAGCAGGACAAAATATCGTAGAGGCGGGTGGGAATGGGACTGAAAATTACAATTCTTTGCAGGAGTGGGACTGCACAGTGCGGGTGCGGGGGGGAGCGAGACTGAAAATTCTGTTCCACGCAGACATATACCTCTGACCACCACCAACACTCACGCACTTAGCCGGTAAATATAGCCAAGGTCAGTTAAATGCAATCAATCAGTGAATCTGCCCAGGGACTATACGTGGAAATTAGCACTTATGCTACAACCTGGTACAATGCATCTCTCCTGTTAAGGTTAATGCAAAAATTTTGCACTGTCCCTGTCTCAAATAAATAAATAAATAAGTGGGATCTTAGTCGACTAAAATTTGTATTAGTCAACTACTGATTTTATTTCGATTGTAAGGATATTTATGGGACAACAGCAGCAAGGAAAAGTTAGTGAGTGAGTTAGCTGAAGATTTGTATTTTTAGCTTTTTATATGCAAAAAGACAGATTGAACTCATGATTCACAAGTTTAATCTGTCTTTGAAGCATCTTGGTGCACTAAGGCATGGAGACAAATTGAGGCATGAAGACAAATGGCTTGTCTTTATTTTGGGGAGGAGAGCTGAATGAAGTGTGACTTGGTTCAGTTTTGTACTTTTTTAATTCAGATGTGGTTGTTTATACATTTATAGATGCACCCATCCACCGAAAACTAGGGACCATGGATAAGGTAGCAAGGTTGTCAAACGTATCGCAAGTCAAATGCTAATTGTCAGAACCAGATACTCATTTGAACAAGTATCAGTACTAAAAAGTCGCATCAACCAGACAGAAATGAGTCTTTCCTTGACAGCTTTATAATGATCTTGAGCTGTATCAGAACCCTGTCTTGCACCATATATTTAAAGGTCTTATATCATGCTAAATTGATTCTTGTGAACTTTAAGTCATGTTAGGATGATGTTACCTCATCGAAAACATACCTGGAGTTGTGTTTTGTTTCACACGTTTTTGAGTATTGTTAATATTCTGTTGGCATCTCCAAAACTCAAAATGCTCTATTCCACCTTGTAGACGACATGAAGTGGTAGTTTTCAAGTTAACAGCTACCTTTTACCTTTTGTTCAGTGGAGATTGGCTGAAATCTTCCAAATGATTCTGCGGGGTTGGTGTGTTAAACATGTGCAAATGAAACAAAGCAAGACTCCGGGTATGTTCTTGATGAGGAAACATTACAACATAGATCACAAAATAATGTAATATGAGCTCTTAAAATCATGTTTCTATTCTGGGAGTGTCTATTTTGAATAAGTTTAAATGTGTTTGGAGCCATTAAGCGGCGAAGCATCTATCTAATGATGTCAGATCGAGCATGTGTTTTATTGATTATTGTGAGTGAGTATTTGTTGGTTTTCTTCCACGCACAGGCTAAATCCCTGGATATATTAAAGCAAAGGCTGCTACCCCGAGGATGTTTACAGCGCATTTTAGTGACTCACCTCCCAATATGAATAACTCTCGTCTCTCTTCTCCACAGGGAGGAAAACACAAAATATTGGACACATGCAGTTTGCCTTTAACGGGGAAGCAGTGTGTGGATCGCATCATCACTGAAAAGGTGAGCGCAGTTTGAAATATAATCTCTAATCCACTTACAATGTCATTTTGTCACAAGCAGAGGTGGGTAGAGTTCGCAAAAAGTTTACTAGAGTACAAGTAACTATCTGGACACAATATTTGATTTATAATTTGAAGTTAAAGGTCCTATATTTTGCAAAATTGACTCTTGCGAGCTTTTAGCCACACAACACACCAGGAGTTGTGTTGTGTTTCATTCACACGTTTGAGTAATTGTTTAGTATTAGTCTGTCTAAATCTCTAAAGCTCAGAATGCTCTGTTCCACCTTGTGATGTCATGAAGCTGTAGTTTTCAGGTTTATAGCTACCTTTTACCTTTAGTTTAGTAGAGATGGGCAATTGGCAGTGGACCACTTCCTTTATTACCACATGACATTGCAACGTGGAACTTGGGAGTGTTCTCAATTTCAGAGAAGGACTCAGCCTAAATATGCAGGGTTTGTGTGTTAAACATGTGTGAATGAAACAAAACACAACTCCAATAATGTTTCTGATGAGGAAACATTATTACATAGATTAGAAAATAACATTAAATGGGTCCTTTAGTGTAGTTGGAAGGTGAAAAGATGAAATATTGCACAGAATCTGGTATTTTTAAAGGATTTTTAAACGGTTCTTACTGAGCTGTAAATACCATTATACCTTTAATTTACCTTTTCTTTGGCGAAGAAAAACACTGCTCTCTGTGATTCATAATTGAAAAGTCATTGTAGATTTGTTTTGATGGTGCAGGATGACTGCCCATGTCATTTAGAACAGATTATTGTTTTTGATTGAAGCAGTAATTGTGATCATGATAAGACTAATAACAAAGTCATCAGATTCACTTCCTGCTTATTAGTTTGGTTATTACCCAAAAATGAACTGCAGAGGTATCACCTTCACATGGGTTAGAATTACAACTGGTCCGTTAGGGCTGTGTCTGTTAGTTGTTCTTAAGGCGCCTTCTTATTGATCTATTTATGAATTAAGCTTCTGTATGTATGTCTTTGGTTTTAATAATTGTTTTGTCTATTGTAAGTCGTTCCTTGTTGTAACTTTGTGTGACATATTACTTCTTGTTTAGGGCTTTATATCAAGAGGCTCTTACAGTATTACATTGTGCTTGTGTCTGCTATATTGTTATAATCTATGACACACATGGGTCATTATATTATAAATTGGACATTTTAAATCTCAATATTCATCTGAAATTACTTAAAGGTCCTGTATTATGCAAAATTTAGCTTTTAAGCCATGTTGCAATGGACTTGTGTTTTTGTTGTGTCATTTCATTCACACATCTTTGAGTAATCCTGGTTTATTAGTCTGTCTACACCCACCTAACCTCTAAAGTTCAAAATGCTTTGTTCATCTTGTGATGTCATGTAGTGCTGGGTTTCAAGTTAAGAGATTGTAAATTCCAGGGCTGAAATTATCCAAATGACTAGTGAAGGTGCTTGGAGTTTAAAAATACAATGGACCACTTCCTTTATTACCACATGACATCACAAGGTGGAACAGAGTGTTACCTAAATATGCAGGATTTGTGAACACAACTCCGAGTATGTTTGTGATGAGGAAACATTATAACATAGATCAGAAAATAGTGTTATATGGGCCCTTTGATAAAAAGAAATTGACTTTCCCGTTTGAAAACTCTGGTGCCCAATGGGAGCAGATGTTGCTGTAAGTGAGTAGCAGTTTTTTTTCATTTGTAGCATAATGACTACATGATGCTGCCGAATCCTACGTATATCACCATTTAAGAAAATAAAATTGGAGAACAAAGTAAGTACAGAGAAGTGAATGTATAAATAATAGAAGTTCGGGTGAGTAAATGGTGATGGGAAACTATAACATGGTCTAAAATGTCGATTTTGCAAAATAGGTCTGCTTTTTTTTTTCTGGTTGAGGGTCCGTCAAATGCTTTTCTTCATAGAGATGGTATTGCTTTGTCTGGAATGTTTCACAGTATGGCATTAAATCTTTCTACCTTCATGGAAATCAAACCAAACCAAGTTACTGGTCAGATCTGTAACTTGAGAGGCGAGCCCACTCCCAGTCAGAATGCCTGTTTTTCTAGGCATTTTTGAGCCGTAAAACCACCTGTAATTGAATAACTGTAAGGTAGAGTGGTTTAAAGTCATACAGTGGAACATTCCAGGTAAAGCAATGACATAGAAACAAGCAGGTGATGGACCCCCAACAAAAAAGTTGCATTGTGCACCTTTAAAGTTGACATAATTTTTTTCATAAATGAGTAAATTTAGTTTTTCTCTCCATAAAGCGTAGAATTGGATCCAATTATAAAACAATGTATAGATTGCAACTTGTAAGGAAGAATGATGTGAGTCTATGACACTTTCAGATGGGAGCTGATAAAACTCCTAGTTTGTGGGAGCTTTTAACAAGTTAGACAGATTGAAATCCCTACTTTCTTGTCTCACTGTTTGAAAATCAGGTACACCAGCTTTAATTATCAAGTAAATGAAGCATGAGCGGCGTACAAATGGTCCCCATGTGGTCAGAGTGAATTACAGAAAGTGCTCTCTGGGAAACAAAGGCTTTGTTAAACTAACTGTTATAACTCAAGTTTTGGCCCATTACCGACGAATGACATGTTTTATTTTTGAAGCCGTCCAGTCAAAGTTTTTTTTTTTTTGCCTTTTAATGAGAAATAGTACTAAGTAAGGAACCGTGATTTCATGGTTTAGGACTTGCACAGGTAAACTATGCTTATACTTTTATAAGCAGAAAGAAGGCAGAAATGAAAGCATTATATGAACAGGGAAAGCTTAGTCTCTATAGTCCTTTATGGAGTTTGCAGAAACCCTCTTGCATGCACAGTTAATTACAGTATGATTTTAAGCTTTATTGATCCCAGTGTCTAAATCCATCCTTAGCATTTGACCCGTGCTTGCACAGGTTTCCTCTGGGTTCATCTGGTTTTCCTCTGGGGCCAGCACTCCCCTGAAAAAGAGATTCTAAGTCTCAGATGGACTATCCTGGTTAAATAAAGATCATTAAATCTTTCCTTTCAGACAATTGCCTTTTATCTTCTATTTTTGTTCTCTCTATTAAAACTAAACTCTTAATTATGTTGAAATCACTAATTCCTGATTCTTAAAGGATTCCATTGTTGAGCTGTGCCTGTCACCATCTTGTCTCTGCAGATTTTACCTTCTCTTGGTACCAAAGTTAAAATCGTTTTCCATCCTCCTCCTCCTCCTCCTTCTCCTCCTCCGCCTGTGATCGACTCCAAGTCAAATTTCACTGTTTCTGCTGAGCAATCCTCTGCTGTCTGCACACAGCAGCCATTTGACAGTGTCTCACCATGGACTTAGGTTTGACTTGAATCTTTGTTTTCTTAGCTTAGAGCGAGCAAGACTCACAATATTTGAACTTCACTGCTGTCATGTAGTCAAAAAGCCTGACAACTTTGCATCTATATTACCATTAGCTGAGATGAGTATCACCGTGAAGTGCTGTCAGAAGAAGTGAGTGACTTTTCTGTTGATCTTGAATTAAGTTATAGGTCAGAAGTTCCTAACTGGTGCATTAGTTTGTAGTGTGTTTGATTTGTGTTGTTGGTGTAAATTATATCACCAGGGCAAAAACTCTGAGGGAATACCTGCACAGTTGATGTGGCTAGCACTCTTGACTCACAGCAAGAAGGTGCTGAAGGCAACCAGATGGGGGGCTTTTGGCATTTTCTTTTGCAGTTTATTTTCTGTGTCCTCAGCTGCTCTGGTTTCCCACATCAACCCAAAACATGCACCATCAGGTAAAATCCTCCAGCGGTAGTTGGGTACTTTTTTTATGTAAGCAATCGCTACTGTTTGATTGTGGCGTATGTAATGCGCCAAATTCTGTAGGAAGAAGGGCAATAACATCTTTCCCCTTGATAAATGCACCAAACATTCTCCTTGTTCCGGCTTTAAATTCTCGATCTCGGGAATCATTGCCAACACAGAATGTATGGCTTCGTCTACATCCATCTCGACCGCTTTGTTTACTGTTGTGCTGTACCACAAAAGGGACCCAGACAGGCGCTTGAGTTTGACGTCATGGCTTCACAGCTCTTCCCTGATTGGCCAGTGCACGGTTTACAACTTCCGGGTTCTTGCAAACCATCAATTGTATTCCAATTCCTGACCAAGTCGCTGGAGAGAAATGAAATTGAGCAGAGACTAGTCCTGAGCAAGACTAGCTCACAATCTGGAGATGGGTCCACTGCTCCTGACAGCTTGCATCAGTGACATGGAAGGATGGGTCAAATGTAGAGGACAAATTTCACCATAACAATAAACCAACCAGTCTTAAACAGGTCTACCCACTGCTTTCTTCCTGTGAGGCAACAGTGCTTTCTACTTTACCAATGATGACACATTCAGGATAACATCTAAATTTGTGTTGTTATCTGTTTTTATTTCCAGTATTATTCAAATTCAGAAACTTTATTGTTCCCTGAGGTGTAATTCAAAATGACAGCTGCTCTTAATGAAGTGATAAGCAATACCACAATGAAACAGCACAACAAATGGCACCAATGAATCTGAACCAAAATAATTGAGAGACAGTCGTTTTCTAAGCTGATTTGAAAACAGACCCAATTTATCTGTGCAATAACTGACTTTGGCTGACATGATATTAGAATGTATTTATTCCAGTTTATTGGCAATACTGAAACATAACTGAAATATAGCCCTAATAATTTATAATTTCTTCTTTTATGATGTTATATTTTGTTTAGAATGTTAACAGGCATAGATCAAAAATATGATTTTTTTAATGTATAAAATCAAGACATTTTTACACTGTTTGGTGCACTTATTGATAGTTTGCAGTGATGTCACGCTGGGGGTGTTATGTACATGTATGTGTATTGGTGGAATGTTCCTCAGTTATCATGAAGACAAAATGCTCACATTAGCAAACACTGTCAAATAAGTGTCATGAAGAAACCAAATCCAAAAACAGAAACTACAACAGACATGA